GTTGGTGTCAGGGTTGATGAAAGGGCTAGAGGGAGGTAGCATGTCTGGCCTCACAGTAATGGGCCTTGGGTACTGCTGTAGACCAGTACTAGGCTGTTTTGATTACTGTAACTGTGTAATGTTTTAAAATCAGCAAGTGTGAGGCCTCTTACTTTTTTTTTTCAACATTGCTTTAGCTGTTCCAGGCCTCTTGCCATTCCATATAAAGTTAGGAATTGGTTTTTCTATTTCCATAAAGCAAGCTGTTGTAATTTTGATTGGGATTGCACTGAATCTATACATTGCTTTGGGTAAGATTGACATCTTAACAATATTAAGTCTTCCAATCAATGCATAGGGCTTTCACTGACTGACTGGAAGCTGATTGCCAGGCCATTCTTCCTAGTCTGTCTTTGTCTGGAACCTCTCCTGAAACCCACTCAGCATCATAGCAACAAGCAAGCCTCCACTGATAAGACAGCTGGGGGTTGCACAGGAGGAACCGTGGCCAGGAATTGAACCTGGGTCTTCTGCACTGAAGGCAAGAATTCTACCACGGAACCACCACTGCCAGGAAAATGTCATACATGGTCTCTGGGTTAGAGAGTGAGGGGCACCATGCGTCAGCGCTGCCCACAGGTATGGAACGGCATGGGCACTGCAGGCGTGAGTCCATGAGGAGAGGTCACTCCTGAAATACCCACTGCAGGCTCTAGCCAGTGTGTTGAAGTGGGGTACCCCCCCCCCCCCGGCTCTGCCCCCACTCACCTCTCTGGCAGCGCTGCAGCGCCTCCTTGTGGCCCAGCAGCAGCTCCAGGTGGAAGGAGTAACAGTGCTCCCGGAAGGGAATCCACATGGAGTCAGTCAGCCCCTGGGGACAGCTGCCCTGGTAGCTTATTCTTCTGGGAGACGGGGGTCCTGTCGGGGGTACAGGATGGAAGAATGACCCAGAATCCTCCCAGGGTCACACCCTGCTCACCCCTTGGCCCCAACGCTGGGCACTCACCACCGTTAACTCCACACACAGCCCCCTGCAACTTGGTGTTGCAACTGGTGGTGTGCCAGGCGCCATCCACATCCACGTAGGCGCAGCCCCCGGGCTGCTGGGGCTCTCCGTCCTGCCAGCTCACATAGCTCAGCGGCTCCTCCGAGACCCAGGAGTACCTCCGCGAGCCCTGGGCGGCAGGGCCGTCGGTGTGGGGGAAAGGAGA